AGAGAGAGAGAGAGAGAGAGAGAGAGAGAGAGAGAGAGAGAGAGATGCTAAGCAAATGTAGGTCAAGGAATGTAAATAAAAAGTAAACAAAACAAAATGTTGAGGCCAAGTAAGATGTGTCAATCAAGCCAGTATCTCTCTTTTTCCAGAAACAAAGCAACACATCTCCAGTTCCTGTTGAGCAGAATAAGGAAAATCAAGACTGAAAAAGGCAGGAAATAAAATGGCTTTCTAAATGTATTGTCTCCCCAATCTAAAAGGTTACCTGCTTATTAACATCTCATGTGACAATACCATGAAATCCAACAAGAGTTCATACAGCTGAATGCAAGTACCTCTCCACTAGCATTGCATAGATCATTTTTTACTTCATTTCAGAATGTTTGCATACATCTCCAGCCTTCCAGCTAAAACAGGAGCCTTCTCACCTGTGCTGATGTGCTGCTGAGCTTCTGTAGACCATTTTCTAGTCGCTCCATCTTTGCTGTTAGTTCTTTTCTCTTTTTAAGCAGCAAATTCTGATACAGTTTGATTTGCTCCAAAAACGACTTGGGGGTGGTGTAATTATAACGACGTTCATTAGTCAGGTAAGAATAAGACATCTCATTAACACTGGTATGAACATAAGCCATGAACTTGCTGATAGATTCTTTCACAGGAGGCTTGTTCACGATGATGATAATGAAGATGATGACAATGACAAGAACAATGTTAAAAGAGAAACTATTTCAAAGTGAATAACAAGGCAGTCTGACTAAGTTTCCTGGATATGTCTTACATAAAGCACTGATTACCAAATTGAAATACATAATATTCCAGAAAATACATGAAACTCCTTATCAGAATTTCCTGATTTTGATATGATGTGTGAAATTTGATTAGACTGCACCAAATTATTAGTAACTTCAAAATACCAATTTTATGCAGGCAGTGTTTGTCCAATTAGTACCCCACTTTTCCTTTAGGAACTCAAAGCAGATTACATTGCCCTTCCTCTTATTTATTTTTTCCCAAAACAACAAACCCGTGACTCAGGGTGTAAGTGAGAGACCAGACCAAAGTCACCCAGAGAGCTTCCACAGTTGAGGTTAGAGTTGAGCCTTGGTCTCCACAGTGCTAGTCTAACACCTGAACCCCTACATCATACTGCTGGAAAACACCTGCACATAAGTACATCTACTTATGTAAAGATGGGGTGAGGTAGATTTTCTTCTTTGCCTGCAGCCATAATGTGCCTGAAGCACCAGATTTGCCTTACAAAATAAACAGCTGTTCAGCCTCACAGTTGAGAGGAAGCATTTGATGTGCTCCTAATATTCACTTACCTCAATACCTTCTGTCCCTTGCAAGAAGCGCAGGCTGACTGATTCCAGAGCTTCCTGAGGCCACTCATGGAACCAGTCGATCACTGTACAGTTCACAATGGCTGGGAACTTCCGGCTACGAACTCTCAGTTTGTTCCCCACTGGAGAAAAGCAAAGTGCCACCTGGGCCAAGTAGAACAAGCAATGAGGAAAACAAGGTGAGCAGAATTATGATGGAAGAAGGTTTTTGCTTTGTGACTTTCAAAACTTTCCAGCTATTCTAAGGTTTGTCAAAGACGCAGGGCTCAAAATTGTTGAAAGGAAAGCGTTTGCTTGTGCACCTGAGCATTCTTGAGAGTGAGACTATTCCCTGAGCAATTATTAGTAAAGTAGGGTTTTACAATTGTAACAGAAAAGTGATTTTTTTAAGGATACACAAAATAGAGATTGGCAAAGCTTAGGACCTAACTAACTACATCCCACCTGGAGGAAAGTCAAAGAACTAGAGCTCCATGCTTGCATATTTGGGGACCAAGTCAGAGAGAAGCAATACTGGGATTAATTTTTTTATAGACAAAGAATGGTACACAAAGTGGGAACACAGAGAAATCCCTCACTATCTACATGCTTCTTTAGATTGCCCTTCTAATTGTGGTCCCACAGCAGTCGAAATGCAGTATTGCCAGCTAACGTTGCCCACTGTCAGGAATTCAATCCTGACCAGCTCAAGGTCACCAAGCTTTCCATCCTTCCAAGGTCAGTAAAAGGAGGACTCAGATTGCAAATTCCCTAAAGAGTGTTGTAAAGCACTGTGAAGTGGTATCTAAGTCTAAGTGCCATTGCTATGGTCAGAAACTTGCGCAGACCAGTAGGTGCTACTGAAGTCATCTTTCCAACAAAAGAGGAACCCAGAAACAGTAAGGGACAGCATCTCAGCCTAATCTCTATTATTTTTCATGCATAAAAGTGAGGTTATTATTCTTGCGTTATCCAAGATACAGATATTTCTTCCCCCACCCCACCCCGCAAAAAAAACACAGCATTGATTGGAGCAGCAACACTTCGTCGATTGGAGATAAATTTTATAAAGATCATCTTCACAAACATCACACAACAAAAAAGAGCAGGGTGTACCTTGAGCTGTCGTCTAACCCGATCAATAAAGAATTTCCAGCAGGCCTCCCTCGTGTCCATCAGACCATGAGTTTTTACTTCATTCCTCATATTACTTATGATATTTTCTATTTCTTCATCAGGAAAAAGATCAGGAATTTCTCCTAGAAACACAAGATAACATCTGATTCACCATAAAATTCCATACCTGCAGCATTCCCTATCTTGCTGAGGACAAAGGAAAAGAGAGAAGTAAACGAATACATTTTGTTTATTTCCAAGGGCTCACCTGATAAGTGAAGAAATATAAGGGCAGAGAAGACAAAGGAATTAAGGAATGAAAAAAATGTTACATCTCTATCCCATAATGGAAATATTGCTGAAGAATATCATTGCTGGCCTCTAGTTACAGTAATTTGCCTTATAACTAAGGCAGAAACAGAACAAAACAATATTGTTCAGTAACAGCTACCACTATATGTGGTTGAAGGGCATCTTCCAGCCTAGAAGTTGTACTGTGACTGCTTTGTTAATAACGTATCACAGATTTCCCTTTCCTGATTCCTCTTTCTGCACTTGTGACTGGGGCAATCCTGCAACCCTCCCTGCCCACTCACTCCTTACCCGGCAATCCTCCAGTATTAGCTGGGACTCTTTTTGGCCTGTGGACTCCAATGAAGTGAATAGGTGCTACCTAGCAGGTTTTCTGCCTTCTACCTGGTTCATTCAGGAGGCATAGATGAGAATGTGTCTGGTTGGATCTTGGAGATAGGCCCTTTCGCAAGGCCCTCCCTATCAATTATGACAACTATCATCTGGTATTCAACTTTCCCTATCTTGAGATGGTGGTATAGATGATAGTAGCTTGGTGATTACAAAGGCCCACAGAAGAAATGGATTGACTGAATCCTTCTCCGTCAATATTAAGGCTTAATGTGAAGCAGAAACATTATTGATCTCACAAATTACTTTTCTCCCCATTTAGATGGAGGTAGCACATGTTTCAACTCACCTGAATTTGATGGCATTTGATATCATCAGTCATGATTGCTTACAAGGATTGGAGACTGGGAAAAATTTTCAATGGCTCTATTCCAGGGGGTGTCAAACTCGATTTTATTGAGGGCCACATCAGGATTGTGTTTGACTTTGGGGGACCAGGGTGGACATGGCCAGCTCTATGTCACTTATATTGGGGGGTGCCTATGGTGTCCTAAGTGCTCTGTCAGCAAAAATGGGCTCCCAAGCTCCATTTTCGGCTGGGACAGCTTTCCGCAACCCTCTGCCAGTGAAAATGGAGTTCAGCCACCCTTGACCCTCCTGAGCTCCATTTTTGGCTGCAACGACCTCCTCTGGCAAACCTTTACCAGCAAAAACAGAGCTCAGGAACACCACCCGCAGCCCTCATGAGCTCAGTTTTTGCTGGCAGAAGCACCATGGACCAGTCCTTTACTGTTTCCAGGGCAGCCCCACTGGCCAGATCTAAGCACCCCATGGGCCAGACCCAGCTCGCGGGCCTTGAGTTTGACAACCTTGCTCTATTCCTTTCTGAGTGAGCAGTTTGAATTAGTTGCTACAGGAGAAGAGAATTCAATCTGGTGGCCTTTCTTGTGTAGAATCTATATTATAGAACAACATCCCTTCGGGTATCAGATTGACCCCTAATTGTATGGTTTTCTAGAACAGCGGTCGCCAACTGGTGGGCTGTGGCCCACTGGTGGGCCATGAGAAAATTTTGGTGGGCCACAAAGAAATCTCATCCCCAGAGCACCCACCCCCAAAAGCAATTAATCTAGGCTGCGCAGAAACACAAGGCTGCACAGCTGATATGGCCCACGGGAACCCTCCCCTCCCACTCACTCCTTACCTGGTAAACTTGCCTGCTAAATTGTTAAATTTTTCATTTTTCCAACCATCATCTGTTCTGCTGTGCCAGAAGATTTAGATTAGCTAGGAAGCAGGAAATGGTTGGATTTCTTGCTTTCTAGCTAGTCTTTAGATCTTCGGCTCTGCTTTTAAGCATAGCCGAACCTCCCTTAGGACTGAAGGTTCTATTATTCAGTGCTGACTCACAGCAAGCAAATTTGAGAGACTGAGCTAGCCGATGGCAGATCGATTGATCACTGAATGATTCTGTGAGCAATTCAATGTGCCTGCCTGCTTTGCCTGATTTTGGATAAAAGTCGCTCTTTTTTTATAATATTTACATACATGGTGTGTTGCGAGTTAATTTTGTGAGTTTGCTGGCAAGCAAATTTTATGTGACTGAATGAGCTAGCTGATGGCAGATAGCTAGATCTCTGAATGAATATGTGCTTCTGTGAGCAACTCAATCTGCCTGCCTGCTTTGCCTGATTTTGGGTAAAAGTTGCTCTTTTTTAATAAAAAATTCAATATTTATATAAATATTTACAATATTTACATACAAGCCATGCCCAGCCAGTCACATGACCACCAAGCCACACCAACAAATTAGGCCATGCCCAAGAACCGGTTAGTGGTCCCTGGGATTTAAAATTATGAGTTTGGTGGTCCCTGAGGTTCAAAAGATTGGCAACCCCTGTTCTAGAAAGCATTAAACACTGAATTATTCCTGATGGTCTTTGGAGATTGAATGTTGTCTAATTTTTTAATATGCTACTGTTATAGATATGGTGATATAGGTATTACGATTTATTTGAATTGTTGTTGATTGCTATTTATTAGCTTATTGTCACGGATGGCTTAATGTTAATGCCTATTGTTTTAGAACACATGATAGAAGTTCTATTGTTTAGATGTAGTTTTCAATTTTGTTACATGTTACAAGACACTAAATGGAGTTGGTGGCCTATAAATATAAAGTTGGTGGCCTATAAAAATTAAGAAGTAAAGAGTTATTTTACTTTAGTATTAGTTAACCCACCTCACGTTTTAGCACCACATTTGAAGAAGAATTTAGACAAACTGGAATTGGTTTAAAGAAGCACAATCCTTAGAAATTAAGTTTTATGAAGAGAGACTGAAGTAGCTGGGAACGTTTAGCCTTTACAAGAAAACAGTGAACAAATATATGATACCACTTTTCAAATACATGAAAAGCTGTCATGTGGAAGATTCATTGCGCCACAGGATAATGGATTTAAATTGTAGCAAGTCGGATCCCAGATTTTTGAAGAGCAGCTTGATATTGGAACTTATTACCAGAGAGGCAGATATTCAAGCAAGTCTAGCCACCCACATGTCTATGGTGCTTCAATTTGGATTCTGTACTGAGCAGGAAGTTGGAAATGATACTCTAAATGGACCACCCCAAATTTAGAATTCTAAGTATATGCCTATAAACAGAGAAAGGGCAATGGAAATTGTTACATGGCAAATAATGGTGCTGGAAGAGAAGTTGGAATGACATGTAAATTCATTGTATACATCTTGCTAGCTTCATAGTATAGTCACACAAGATGCTGTGTCCTATCCTCAATTATATCCTCAGCATAATGTCTGGTGCACACAATGTGGTAATCCAAAGGCCAGGTTCCCACAACATACTGAGCCATAACCCAATCAACCCCATTTCAGTCTAGCCAGCATGTTGTGTGAACTCTGATATTCTGGGGCAAGTTTTTCACAATTCTAGTTTCCTATTTCCTATAAATGAAATTTACATTACTATGAATACATACCTGAAGCTAGCAAGTCATTAACCAGAACTAAGAATCTCTCATCAGCCAGCTGAGTATCAGTCAGAAGAAAGACAGTGCCCACATTCTTCATTCCTGCCGTGATACATTGTGCTGCTAAGTCAGCCTGTAAGTACATGAATATTTCAGACTCCAATTTTAGGCAACAGCTGTAAGAGGAGACTCAAGTCATCTTGGGTACTATTAAATTCAAAGTTCATTGGCTTCTCAGAGTCCAGTTCACACCGTTAAAATCACACTGCTGATCACACTGGGGTTCATTGTTATTCACATAACAATTATATTTGAAGGAAATACATAAACACAGTCTGTATAACAACATACTGTAACTCTCATTAAAGAATCTGTATAAAGTACTTTTCATTAGGAGGCCAATCTCTACTACTGTAACTTTTTTTCAATCTCTCTCTCTCTTGGAACATTCATATGTTTCTTAAACACATCTTCTTACCCTTGGTTTTTAATGAAAAAGGTGCTAAATTCAAGTTCCCTTGCTATTTGTTCTGCTATCCTTCTGAGGGCAATATTATATCAATATTATATCAGATATTCTGAATTAAACACCACCATGATCCTAGATCACTTCACAAAACAAAGGGGAAAGAGACACTCTCATATGAAAATATCCTTCCTGGGAAAGTTCCAGCTGAGCATTATTGCTCAACATGTTTAGTGTATCATTTACAGATTCTGACCCAGAATAACTTTCGAGTAAACAACCACTACATATACCCTGAGGTAACATAGTCATATATGTTCCTGAATGCGGGGGCGGGGAGAGGAGGAGGACAAAGAGGAAGGAGCAGGAGCAGGAGCAAAAGGAATAATAATCACGTTTTTGACTAATGTTCTTTGGAAATTCAAGTCCAAGCTAGGAAACTAGGAATTATTAAAGTGGTATTAAGATGTAACATGTGCAAGGTGCTTTTTTGTAAATCTGCAGTTAATATAGGTGAAAATATTCAGTTCCTGTAAAAATGTATGTGTTTGTTATGCTGCCTAATGCACTATTAACTATAGGGATGACTGTGCAAGATCTTTTCCATAATTTATTTTGATTGTTCACTCTTTAGATTTTGTAACTTTTTACAATTCTTTTTGCTCAGTTCTGTTGGCCCTGGGTATTGCCACATCCACAAAAATTACTCTTTTGTTTTCTTTTGATTATTCTTATACCTGCTGTGTTGCATTCCAGGTGGTAAGTAGTTGTTATATGAACATGACATAAAATGTTAATGTCATCATTTTCAACAACTGTTTCAGTGTTGTGATTATACCACATTGTGAAAATTATAACTTTTCTACAAATACCAATGCATTATAGTGACTACTCTATCATGGCATTCCTTATAGCAAGTCCAAGCAATTTTGCTTATGATTATGGTTTATAGTTATGTTACAGTATTTATTAATTTAACATTTACATAAAGTCACAGAGAGAGATCATCCATCAATTCATAATCAAGCATCAACAGTGTGGTAATAGTACTCAACTATGCATCTCATCCCTGGGATTGGGTGAGCTATATGGTTGACCTCATGTCCCAATACCTGGAAGCAATGAGAGTATGAGGGTGTAGGAACAAGCTCAGACTCACTTTTAGCAAGACTGAATGGTTGTGTGCATTTAAGCCTCCTAGTACTGAGGACTTTCTATCTTTGGCCCTGATTGGGCAGGCACTTTCCCATTTGGGTCTACTGAACAATCTGGGTTTGCTCCTGGAATCAGGGGTCCTGCTTAAAGGCAACAGGTGAGAAGTATAGACAGGAGGGCTTTTACACAGAATCACCTTGTGTGCTATTGTATCTTTTCCGAACTAGAAGGCCCTTCACATTTAGTCACCTCATGGTTGGACTACTGCAATGCATTCTACATGCAGCTTCCCTTGAAATCTATTCAGAAGCTATGTGTAGAATGTAGTGCCACAATCAGTGATAGGTTAATCACACCTTGCTCAGGTAATGCCCAAACTCTGTGAATGCACTGGTTCCAGTTGGCTTCCAAGTATAATTCAAAGAACTACTTGCCACATTTCAAACCCTAACTAGCATAGAGCCTATAGTTAGTCTCTTCTTGGTTCTAAGCCTCTCACCTTCAGATCAGGAATCCCATAGCCTTTCCTCAAGGTGATTTGGAAAATCTCCAGAGAGCTAATGAAAGCTGCCAATCTTGTCAGGCTCTGCTTGCCACTTCCACCAACACCCACTAGCAGAGCATTCCCTCTGGGAGATTCCAGGATACGGTTGATTCGGCAACTAAACCAAAAGATACATAATCCTTTCACATCCAACATTTCTTCTGTGGAATAAATATCAATATATGGCACATGGACTAATCTGTTAGATTCAAAACTTGTGAAATCTTAAGTCATTATGTGTCTGGATGAGCATAGAGGAGTAAAGAGATAATTTGAAACAAGACATGCAAGAAATAGCAATAGCACTTAGACTTATATACTGCTTCACAGTGCTTTACAGCCCTCTCTGAGGAGTTTATAGGGTCAGCATATTGCCCCAACAATCTGGGTCTTCATTTTACTGACCTCAGAAGGATGGAAGTCAACTTTGAGCCACTCAGAATCGAACTCCTTCAGTGAGCAGTGAATTAGCCCTGCAGCACTGCATTCTAACCATTGCGCCACCATGCGCCACCTCTTAAATTATTTTCAACCATTGCGCCACCTCTTAAATAATTTTCAACTTAGTCCTTGCAAAAAAGATGGGATAAGAAAGAAATTCAAAATAATTCTGCCTTCATCCTGTTTGATATAAGAAGGGATGGAGGAAATCCCTGACAGGCTTTTAATATTCTGTTTATTATATTCTACAACAATAAAGTTCCTATAATCCTTGCAGGTTCTGACTTCTGGTCTAGCCTCCTGAAGAGCTGACAATTAGAATTTAGTTCCAGTTCCAATTTGGTGGCCTTGTAAGTTTTTAACTTCTTCTTTTTCCCTCCAAACTAATTTTTAATGCCCATTTTAGCCACATCAATTAACTTTTGTTATGTTGTTGACATATACCAACCTAATTATGTTCATTTGAATCTCTTTAAAATATCATTTAAATTTACATGTCTGCTAGATCTTGTCAAAAGAGCTTCAGTTAGCCAATGTTTTTAACTTATGTGCCTGAAATATACTGCAGATATAATTCTTGTCTCGGAAGCCTGCTTGTTTGTTTTCTTAAGATTAGGAGGATATTTCTTAATGGGTAAAGTCCTGACTTGGAAACCAAGAAAACAGAATGAGAGAGTAACTTCCTGAGAGATGGCAATTACCCATTAATTCTCATTTTGTCTTTTGAGAGGAATTCGCAGCTGCTGTGAAGTCACCAGGTTCTGAGACTTTTTTTCCCCTTTATTTGATCTGCTGGCCACAATGTGGCCTCTGTATTTATCACAATTATTTCAACTCGTTGCTTTGTCATCCTGGAGAGTGATGGGCACTTGCCATAACCCCGCTTCTCAGAAAGAGGCTCACCTGGTTGGCTTATTCAACATGATTGCTCATTAACGTTCATGAATTAGGTAACCACCCTTCCCTGATTCTGACCGGAGCTTAAAATAAGCTATGAATAATCTACAAGTAATCAGTGTTGTGGCAAAGATGTTCACTTAAATTAGGAATCAAAGGGTTAGAGATAAATGCAAGAAAATATATTTTAGTGGCATGCACAACTGTAGTGTTTGCTAGACTCCTTACTAAAGAATTGCAGAGGAGTCTGAACATAAAAAGGTTACAGGTTGTGTACTTTTGGTTTGTTAAGTAGGAATGATAAAGAAGATATTTTCAATCACAATAAGACCTCTAAACTGGAATGCCTCTCATAATACATTGGAGATTATGGCCTTATTTTAAATGCCCCTGCAATCCTCAATAGTATCTGAATTCAATTTGTCTCAGATACTATTATTAAGTTCTCTAAACAATGGCACTTATTGTGCCCACATACTGACCCCTTTCATACCATGCTTTTCAGGTTGTTAGAAAAGACAACAATCTGAGCTTCATGATGCATCTCCACTCCAAGGTCACAGATCCAGCCTCCTGCTTTTACTTATGAGTTTATTTCAGGAATGATTTTATTCTTTCTGATGCTCTCTCTATTCATTAAATTAAATTGTAATCAAGTGAATTAAACTCCCCATCAGAATAATTGGAAGAGTGCATTCTGGCTGACAACATATTGTTCTTTCTATTACCCACACATTTTCATATTTCAGGAGAAGATTGAGGTGGGGGGGCAGGGATGGAAGGTATGAAGGGTACCTGCCCCAACCTCTGTTTTCCCATGTTGACTGAGAAGGTTGAAGAATGATTCTAATTAACCAAGTTGCAATATCTAGGAGAATGGGAACATAGTTATGCAGTTTCCAGTATCTGAAAATCTTGTTATTATGGTAAATATGTGGATGCAGTCAAATATCCTCTCACTTCAGACGATTCCCCTTGACAAGGAAATGTCAGTGTGAAATTTCCTATCTTGGCTCCATGTCTTTTTCCCCTAATACCTGGAAATGTGTGTGTATACACACATGCAAACACACACATGTGTGTATAATAATACATTATATATGTGTGTGTGTCTGTGTATGTGTATGTGTATGTATATTTGTGTGTGTGTGTGTGTGTGTGTGTGTGTGTATGCAGGTCTTGGCGTGTTCGGGTCTTTTCATGTGTAAGATTGAGAGTATCTTGGTGATGTTTCGACGAGGTCACACTCGCCATCTTCAGGCTGGTGTTTTTGGCTTCGTGCTTGTGCGAGCAAAGCATGATCAGAGCTGCCGTCTCTCTGTAAATACTGGTGGGGAGGTTGGCTATGTTGTCATTTCTTGATTGGTTGATGGAGTTGATGTTTGCAGATTGGCTGGCTTTTTCATAAGAACATGTGTGGCTGAAGTATTGACTGTGTGTCTATCAGCCTCCTGTGTTGTAGCGACCTGGGTAATGGGCTGTGTGATTAATTTACCAAATTAATCTCCAATACTGAACACTTCAACAAGAGAATAATCAGGGAAGCCATCGAAATAGAGAAACACTCCCATAACATGAATAAATGGGATGATACCCCCTGCCTACCAGACATCTGAAAACTAGCCCTTATCAACAAACAAGTCCCAGCCATGAAAACCAACACTGGACCCAAAACAACACATAATGCCACCACCAATCTCCCTCACCAGACTCAAACACAAACCCACCCCATAGACGTAAGGCAACCACTGTCCAGAAACCAGACCATGGTTGCATCAGCGGCTGCTACACACCCCAACCCCCAAACCAAGCAAACAGACACACACCATGAACACATAGCCAGGCCTCAAACTCGGAGCCAAACCAAAACCCAGAACATCACATCACAGCCACCCGCTCAGGATATCACATCACGGAACTCAGGCAGTTACACCACAAAACCTCAGGATTTTACAACACAGCCAACGACCCAGGAGATTACATCACAAGACCCAGGATGTCACAACAATAGAACTCAGAAGGTCATCACACAGCCCATGACCCAGGTCATTATAACCCAGGAGATTACAGCACAAGACCCAGGATGTCAAAACAATAGAACTCAGAAGGTCATCACACAGCCCATTACCCAGGTCATTACAACACAGGAGACTGATTGACACACAGCCAATACCTCAGCCACACATGTTCTTATGAAAAAGCCAGCCAATCTGCAAACATCAACTCCATCAACCAATCAAGAAATGATAACATAGCCAACCTCCCCACCAGTATTTACAGAGAGACGGCAGCTCTGATCATGCTTTGCTCGCACAAGCACGAAGCCGAAAGCACCAGCCTGAAGATGGTGAGTAGGACCTTGTCGAAACGTCACCAAGATACTCTCAATCTTACACAGGAAAAGACCCGAACACGCCAAGACCTGCGTGTGTGTGTGTGTGTGTGTGTGTGTGTGTGTGGTATTCAGCTTTGTTCGGGTATTTTCCCATATCATTATAGTTGTTCTTTAAAAGCACAACTATAATGATGTGGGAAAATACCCGAACAAAGCTGAATACCATACATATAAATACCCATAAAAACTTAAGAAAACATACATACATACATACATACATTTTCTTGTATAATATATATATATATATATAATACACACAGACACACACTATCTCTTCCATCACCAATATCTGACTACTTACATACCAAGAAATTGTCCTTGAGCAATTATGACAAAATCCAGTAGTTATTAAGGATGAGGACATGCAGAGCAATGTTTTGCTGATTGACAAAGATGAATATCAACTTCTGAGCCAATGATTCAAGGATTAAGAATTATATTATATCTTCTAAGTCTAACATTCAATTCATACCATATAAAGTTTGAAGGAATTTTTTTTAATGAACTGAAGCTTCCAAATCAGCATAAGCCAATATTAGAAACAAAATTCACACACAAACAATAAAACCAAATATTATAGATATGCTAATGCTATCAATGAGATAGAAATTGAGTCAGGAAAATATAGAAATGTGGGTTGTTGTATTTACATATTCATTAAACAAATGTGTTTTTAGAAGAGGAATTAGAAAGATTTTTTACATATTTTGAAAATATTATAAGGATAGGTTTTGATGTGTCTCCTTAGGCTAAGCATGTTGGAGCATGAAGCTGCCATCCAAAAGGCCCTCACTGTTTAAATAAATAATCTTTCTAATGTAGAATCTATAAAAAGATCATTGTGAACATTTTAATGGATGGGCATGCTAACAGTCGATTTTCCAGACTATGAGCAGAGGCCAAATCACTATGACTGCCTCAGTGCCATTCCTTTTCAATCCAAGCACTATTTTGCCCTGCTTGTATTAAATAGATCTGCAAATAAATTCCCAGCAGCTGACTTTGGTGGCTTGTTTCCTTCTGGAGAAGCAGAGATTGGAGAATCCCCTGTAGGGTTCTTGCAAGGAATAGGCTCAATATCTGACAGTTAAAGTCACTCAGATCCATTTTGGGTTGGACTTCAGCTGGGAGTCATCTGGCAGTCTTATCTGGTCTAAATTTGACCCAATTACTTCTGAGGAATGGATGGGGTTCTTCAAATGGTAAATTCCATTACATATGTGTTTAATCCATGTCTCTCCTGGCTAGTTAGAAGGACACCTAAATGAGCTCAAATGATGGAAAATGTCTAATTTACCAGAATGGGTAGTTCTGCCTGCCTTGAAGAAGATGATGGTCAGCCCTGTCCTCAAAGAGAGGGGACCTTTTTAGGGAAGGCTGTTGAGAAGAGGACAACCAGCAGTTTCCAAGAGTTCTGGAGAAAATAGATTACCTGAACCTATTGCAGTTGGTGTTCAAGCCAAGATACAACAGTAAGAGATACAACAGTATGCTCAGGGCAGAAATAGGTACCCATTCTCTCCCTTTTTGTTCTCTGAGTAATTTTTGATACCATTGCTTATGGTATCCTTCAGAGCCAACGGAAGAGGTTGGGAGTTGGTAGCATTGTTCTTCAGTGCCTCTCCTCCTTCTTCTGTGGCCACCTTCCAGATGGTGTCAATGGGGGGAGGAAGGTATAGCCCTTTACTTCTGCTATGTGTGGTGCCGCCACACTCTCCCCACGCCCTATTTAATATCTAAATAAAACTACTGGATAAGTTATCTATTGGCATGGGGTTAAGTTTTGTTGGTATATTGATGACACTTAATTGTACCTCTCTGACACTTAATTGTACCTCTCTGCCCTGGAACATCCAAGTGATACTGTCGAAGTGTTTTTACAGTGCTTGGAGACTCTTTGGGCACTGTATGGTGAGGAACCTGCTTCAATCCAATCCTGAGAGGACTGAGCAACTATGGATTTTAGGGCTCTCCGTATCTGATGATTTTCCATCATTCATTCTCATTTGAGGCTTACACTGTAGCAGGTGGCAATGTAGCCCCCAAAGCCTTTACACAAATGCAGCTTGTGCATAAGTTGAACCACTCCTAGACTGGGAGGCACTACTCAAATTACTTATGTCACTTCCTGACTGGGCTACTGCAATGAGCTCTGCATGAGACTGCCCTTGAAAAACATTCAGACACTTCAGCTGATCCACGATGCAGTAGCAGATGTGGTATTGGGCAATAACAGTATACACACATCACTTCATTGCTATAGGAGCTGCATTATCTCCTAGCAGGCTTCGGAGTGTCATTCAAGGTGCTGGTTTTCTTTTTTGAGGAACATTGTTTGAAAGATTGCTTTTCCTTGATGGTTTCTACCCATCCCAACAGAACTGGTAGAGTTGTCTCTACACTTTCACCTGGTGAGTGCTAAAAATATGCTTTCTTTCTAATGGCACCTAACCTATGGAGAAGACTCCCACAGAGATACAGAAAGTCCCAAGCTTAGTGGTTTTTAGAAAGCTATGAAGACTGGCATTGGAAGTAGGCTACTAGTTTCTCATGCTCTGATAGGGATGTGGAAAAGTGGGGTCCATTGAGATTTTTTATGAAAAGACCTTAGTTTGGGTTGGTGTGTTTTACAATTGTTAAATTATTCCATTTTCCTTTGCTACCTAAGGTTTTGCTAGATAGATGATACATGATAGAGACAGAGACAGAGACAGAGACAGAGACAGACAGAGAGAGACACAGACAGACAGACCGATAGACAAATAGATAAATCTCTGCCAAATGAGAGCATTTTCAGTTTGGGCAGATGAATAGTGCAAATCCAGATTGAAAATTTAGCCCTCTAAAGAGTAATGCAAATTGATACTTAAATTGTCCGTTTTTTAAGGGAGATCAAGTGTATTATTAGAAAGAATAGATCTGGTGCCTCAGCACTAGACAGAGAGCCTCTGAAAGAAATCTTTATTTTATAAACCTAGCATGCAAATTCATTGTGGGGACCTGCTTCTGAACACTGAATATTAGGTCCTAATACAACCTGGTTGACACTGAGCTACTGAAGATAAAAATGCTTGCTAGTAATCAGATGAATAAAAGCCCTGTAGCATGCACAGCAGTGCAATTGTATTAAATTGTGATGCCCTCTGGTGTGGGAAGTGAAAGGATGTCTCGCCTCCAACAGAAAGATATAAGCAGAAAAACCAAGGACTCTGCATATTGTTTGCTTTTGTGAGCATGACTGAATTTGCTACCTGGAGTTGGAGAAACAGTTTGCTTGCCCTTTGTGCTTGTTTCTAATGGAAGACGTGTTTTGTAACAGCTGAGAGAATAAGTTGAAGATAGTGTATGTGCTCAAAACAACTTAGCTTATTTATTTCTTGGACAAAACCCACTAACAACCAAAACACAGTCCTTAAATTTTGGGATAAGGGTTGACAGGTAATACAATTACATAAAATAATGTTTCTATTGGCCTACCATTCCCTTTCTTAGAAGGATAGTCATCAATGAATGGCGATTGGTATTCTGCTAAAACATGGACCCTTTCATCTATATAGTTGAAAAAATGATTAAAATATGTTAAGATTCTCTGTACAGACAGTTAATTCAGGTCTTCTTTGTAGAAGGTCATCCATTGTTCCTACTTCTGTGGATACCACCCAAAACCTACAGTATTAAAGGAAATCACAGTCATCTGAAAATCAAAACTCCTCTTACATGTGGCACATGGCATCTTCAAACAGCACCAGGTTCATGGCAGCATTAACTTCATTGTGGTTCTCCAAAGCTTCCACAAGAATCTGGCTCAATGATTCCCAATTCTGGACAGGCATATATTTGGGTTCTCCTACCCCTTTTGCAAAATGACAATAGATATTCATCTTCTTGGTTTGTTCCAAAGTTTCCTCTATGTCCTAAGGGGTAAAGGAAAACACAGTGTTCCAGTTTAGGAGAGATGCAGCAAACAAAAATGTCATCAAGCATAAGCCATTGCAGTCTCTCAACTCTAGAGAGAAGGAGGGATAAAATGTAATACCTAGGATCTACCCATCACCAAAACCTTCTTGCAGACCGCACATATCATATACTTCTCTTTTGCATTGTTATGTAATGACTGTTTGTCAGCCATAGAAAACATGTTTCAAAGAGTTATTTTATCTCAAATAGATAAAGAAGCAGAATGCTCCATAACATCCTGATAGAGAAGCAGGATGCCCCATAACACCCATTACAATTTAGAAAACATAAATGGTTTCTAAATTGTGCAGTATTTCTTCTTTATGATGAGGAGGAACCTTATAAGCTTTGCTTTTTTTGCAATACACATATTAGTCATTTTGTTTTTGGTGAGTGATTGAACACTTACATCATAGAACTTCTTCACTGCCTCTGCTTGCATTTTATCAAAAACAATTAAATCCTTGTCATCAACCATCTTGTCACGGTAAACACGATTGGATTCATGTAAATATAGCTTTACCAAATCCTGAGGAGTCTTCAAACATTCAGGAGTTGAAAACAGAATACCCTAAGGAAAAGAAATACAGATGATGATACAATCTGCTTTCTGGATGGATTAGCCATGCAACTACAACCGATCCGTATGGTTGTCCCTGCTATTGCTCAGCAATGTCACTTCCAGTCTGCCATACCACTCTTGATTTCTGTGACATACATTAAACTGGCATCCATCCATTTTAAGCTGTCTCTGTATATGATAGCAGAATCCCTAAGCAAGCAAATATATAAGGCATCAGTACATGTACAAAAGTGGATATGACAAAAATAATATACAAAGTTCCTAACCTTCACTTTCCTTACATAAATTTTCAACCCAATTCTAAATTCATTGGCACAATGAGAATTGTCACTCCATATTGAAAAGATAAAATAAAAGTTCATCACATTATCATAGGTAATAAAACAAGACTAACCTAACATAAATGAATTGTACTGAGAGGTATCGAGTCAATGTGAAGTAATTTAAATGGTTATTTTTTTCTCAGATTTAAGGGTAAATTGCTTCACAGTGGCTGATTTTATATTTCAACTAACACTCAGGAACAAACTGCAAATAAAAACAAAATAATAATGGCATGGCAATAATATGTTTATACAAGGAGGAGAATAGCTTTTTATATTTAAAAAAAGCTTTCATTTTTTTTGAAAGAGAAGGAACTTATTTTAGGAAGTTCAGTTGCAACAGAGGTTGCAGCTCTAATATATATACACATTTCTGATTGAAGTGAAATTATTCAATAATAATTAGGCCCAGGATTCCCCAAATGGTTTAAAAGTAGATTACATAGGCTTGTTGTTCGCTAAACTCCTTATCCTGCACTGATTTAAACTGCAGACTGAAAAAATGGAGGGTACGTTATTGCCTCAGATTCAATCTCTCCCTAAATTAACCACATTACTTCCTTATCATTTTGTAGGGAGAAAAAGAGTCAATATATTAGACTAAGTGGTGATAACTTAAAAAAATAAAATTTAACAAGGCTGCTGCTGCCTAGAGCTTGCATTAATCACTCTCAGGTAACTGTGGCAAGTTTACAATGTGCCCTTTAGCATGCACAAGCAGGTGTCTCTTAAAAGGAAATAAAATGTAGCTACCTATTAACAATAACTAGTGGTGTAATGACATGTACATATTTAAAACATGTTATTTCTTAATCCTAATTCAAAAATTCTAAAGGCAGCTTGAAGTCTGACTGTACATGAGCAAGCATTATTTCAACAAAAAGCATTTAAATGAATTAACCAAGTTTTAAGAGGTGCTATTAGGGTACTTTTTAAGTGGGAACATTTGGAATTACTAATCTTCTTTGGAGATGAAGCATTTAAGAACACACTTTCTGATTTTTATTCTGTAGCAACTAATCATAGGAAATCTATGCATATAAATCCAAGAAAAGTACCATTTATGTGTTAAGAATAAAGCTGCCTTATTTAAGAGAACAGGCAAATCCAGTACTACAATTTCTAAAGCAAACAAAGCTTCAGTTTATATCCCAATCTCCCTAACCCAAGCAATGTTAGAATAATTTATGCTTGCTCAACAATAAGGAGAAAGCACTCCAATTATGAGAAATGGCTCTCTTATCTTCTTTATATCTTATGATCCAAGGTTCAGTCATTGAAACAGACCAAAAGCTCTGGAGATTTTGGGCTCATTACATTTTGAATCAGAAAGGTCAGGGCTAGCTTCTAACCTTCATAACTGATTCCCTTATCATTTAATTGATGCAGTGGAATGACATATTGATCAGAAAATACAAATGATTAAAATGGGCACACAGAATCTGTTAAAATTACCCACCAGAAATTAAGCCAGATTCTCTATATTTTCATATCAAGTCTAGCACATACTCTTCAAATATATCCTCACTGGGATATATTTAATAAGATAGATAGAAGACATTAATTAATAACAAATAATATTACCCTAAATCCACATTAATAGCTAAGATTAAGAATCTTAGCTAGCTATGATAATAGTAAGGAAATACAACTACTTGAAAATAATGTAAATACCTCTTTTTGCCCATATACTCAGCTATATGAATTGTAAGTATTCAACTTAAGGATCTTCCATTCTCAGGTATCATGTATTTTAACTGTATCTATTAACAATACCTAATAACTGTTAGGGGTCCACTATCAATTTCACTAGTATTATTCCTTCCCACTGGTTGAAACTAAGATTGTCATATGCCTGTCATAATTATGGGGACAGAAGTGGATCTTGGGGAGAAAGATAAAAGGCAGAGAGTTGTCCGTCTCAACAAAATCATATGGAATCAAATCATTTGACATGTTAGAGCTTAAATGCTCTAAGTGCTGATTTCCATTTGTTTCCGGTGATACATTTGAATCTAGTACTATTTAAGAGAATTAACCCTTGACTGTAATTGTGTAGTGTGGTGGCCTAGAGGTGAAGATGCCCACCTCCCACTTGGGGGGGTGGAAATTCAATCCGAGGCAGTAAATGCAGTAAATGCTCGGTTCTATTCAATCACCCCAACTGCATCCCAATAAAAGGCATTACAGCATGGCTGTCAAACTTGTGACGTCACATTGTCATCATGTGACATATTGTGACTTTTTTCCCCCTTTGCTAAATCAGGGGTGGGTGTGGCCAGCACGCAACACATCCGGCCCGCGGGCTGCCAGTTTGACCATATTTTTCTGGTAGAAGAATGTTCTCTTGAAATATCTAAAAAGAAAAAAGAAAAAAAAACTTCTGACTGTAATTCACTCTATGCTTGACTTAGATTCACAAAATATTGCAGGGGAAGTCTTGTTATGGAGAAACTATTTGATCTCTACCTGCTTTAACTATCACACATAGGGCATGCTAATTTTGCCAGTCTGAACTTTAAAATCTGTTCTATAAGTTTTTTCCTGCCTCCTTACCAATCTGACCATCCAAAAGTCTATCCAGAAAATGGGAAAGTTTGTCCAGCTTCTCTTTAATGTCTAACAACTTCTTAAAAAAAATAATAATCACACAATCTCTACAAGTAATACACATTTTTTGCCAACAAATCCAGGTGGAAATTCAAACTTAACACTGTTTGAGTTATCATTGTTTGTGAATCTTGTGCCTGTTTGAGTTTCCTTTGAAGTGAAATCGTTAATCAGAAGTTACCCATCCTTGCACACTCTCCCTGTTCAGTAGTTCAAATTGATCATCTAGTGAAAAAATGTCATCACTTATAGTTAAGCCTCCTTTCAGTGACAGCAGATCCTCTATTTTAAGTTGTTTAAGTGCTCTCCTTTGACTTGCATGCTTGAAACTAGTTCTTGATTTTTTTTTCTTCATTTTCCCCATTTCTAATTTTTAAGCTCAGCAATATACAACAGGAGTATAGCACATATAAAATAATACTAATAATAACATCAATATTGCCATACTTGGTGACAGCAGAATCAACGAGAAACAATTTGAAAAAAATCACCAGATATCAGGACTTGAAAATCGAACTGCAGAGACTCTGGCATAAACCAGTGCAGGTGGTTCCAGTGGTACTCAGCACACTGAGTGCTGTGCTTAAAGACTTAGACAAGTACTTAAAGACAATTGGTGCTGACAAAATCACCATTGGTCAGCTGCAGAAGGCCACCTTACTGGGATCTGCTCGCATAACTTGCCGATACATCACGCAGTCCTAAATGCTTGGGAAGTGTTCAACTAGTGATTTGTGATACGAAACCCAGCATAGTTATCTTGTTTGCTGTGTGCACTGTTGTTCTTTGTGTCGACAACAATAACAGTAACAGTAACAGTAACAATAACAATAATATATTCACTCTATAAAAGCTGGCAAAGATAAAAGAGTATACCTATGAAGAGGGAATAACTGTGATAAAAGAGCTAAAAAAATAAACTGTAGGGATGAAGGAACTAATGCTAAATCCTGGGCTGTCATGTTAGGGAGAGAGAAACTTATCTTACTTTAAATGGATCAGTTGTGGAGGAAACCAAAAGGAAATTTTGTGAAGTAGTTACTGTCTTCTGCATGATAATCAGCACTGTAGACTTTATGACCGAGTTTACCCCACAGCAACCAGAGGGAAACTAACTGATAACTAACAAATTATCAGTAACAATATATCTAAGAAGTAAAAGTGGGTAAAGAATCAAATAATTATACTAGAATCCAATTTAAACCTTGGTTTGATTGTTTAGGTATGGAATACAAAAAATTAAAGTTTACTGAGCCTTCCGAAATAATATAGGATATAATAGACAAACAAATGGAAACATCTTATGAAACTTTGTTTTTGTACATGACAATGGCAGCAAGACTTTCACATGCCCAAATGTGGGAGGACTTATAAATACCTACAATGAAAGAATGGATGGTGAAGCTGGTGGAATTGATGAAGACGGCAAAATTGAAAAGAAAACATGTTGACAAATGTTATTTCTACTTGGAAATAATTTTGGACTGTTTGAAAGAAACTGAAAAAATGGAAAAGTTGATTGGGGGATTTGTTTATTAGAATTTTATCGGACTATGGAAATAATGTAGACAACTGTTAATCGGTGTATGAGTTTGATGCATTTTTAATTCATAAGTACTGAAGAAAGTCAAAGGTCATTCTTTTTCTATTTTTTTTCTTTCTTCCTGTTTCTTTTTCACACTCTATTCTTTTTTTCTTTGAGCTTTTTCTTTTTTCAAATCTTGCTTTTCTGTTTGCCTAGAATTTAACTTTGTACTTTTTTTGAAAATCAATAAAGGTATATATATATTAAAAATAATATTGGACATTAATGTTGGAGTAATGATATGTGAAAGAAAATATACCAAGTCTTAACTGATAAAGAAAAAGAAGAGGTAGATGTGTCCAGCTGGAATAAGCTAGACCAAAGTTTAAAATTTTTCTGATGATTTGCAGCTTGTTCTGCCTCAGAACAGAAACTAATTACACTAAAAACACTTTTTTCCCCATTTTACTCCTTTCCGTGATCCAAGTTTCTTTATCCACATATTTACCCGCTTGTATCATAAAGCAACTAAATAATAGTAAACCAACAAGGGGTGGAGAAGACTAGAAGTTGGCTCAGTGCATAAAATCAAACTTAGATTGGTGAGATTCTATCCTGGCAACCTTATTTACTCACATGGAGCACTATTTTCAGATGCCAAAATAAACATTATTGTAAAGGAACAGAGATATAACCCTGGGGAAGATATGAAAGGACAGTTAAGGAAGGTCTGGGAGAAAGATTACATTGTCTAAGATTGAAAGATTGAAGGAATTCAAAATAACCCATCTTGACAACAGAGGAAAAAGGGAAGATGAGGATGGAAATTAAAATAGAAGTAATACTGAGGAAGGAAGATGTCAGAAGCAGCAGAGCTGGAGCAGCAGAGAAGAGGCAGTGGCTATGACAGCCAGAACCCCAAGAGGTAACTCAAGAATCAGCCAAAAGCAACTGGAAAAAGGCAGCCCAAAACACAGTTGAGAGAAAGGGTGCAAGTCCAGGAAAATAGAATCCCAACTGACTTTAGGGGAAGCCAAGTTCTGGAATAGTGAGCAGTGCTGACAGAAGGAGCCTTTTCCGAGGCAGACAAAAAGCTGCAGAAGATAGCCCAGGAACTGGCTTTTCATAGGAGCACTTGTTTCTGTTCACATGGAGGACACTCAGGTGCTGATATTCCTTAGAATATAAAAGTAAGCTTTTCTATTCTTTCCTCCCCGCCATAACTATTTTAAACTCTTGAGAATCCACAATAGCCCTGGAGTCTAGTAGAATAAAAAAGGAGCAATACAACAATCAATGTAATGGGCAAAGCATCAAATGGAAAAGGAAACACTGAGAGGGCTTATGGGGAAAAGAAGGGAGTGTTTGCTGCAAGCAGGCAAATTGCTAGGAGGCAGAGGCAGATTTTTTTCCCCGTTGTTTTCCTTCCCAAAAGCTAGGTGCATCTTTTGGTCTGGAGAGTCTTATAGTGCAAAAAATATAGTACTTAGGGGTTATCTTCCTTAACATGAAATTGTCAAAGTAAAGTAATGTATGCACAAAAAAGGGGGCAATGCAATAGTTCAATGTGCCAGCCCCAGAGGAACAAATGTGCCGTTGTTTTAAAACTCTTTAAAACAAAAAGTGCAGTTTAGGACTTGAGACCATTAAAAGTAATTCAGAGTATATTTTAATAGCAGTATTTTAAGTCCCTGCTATGTTCATGCACTTTTGCACCTCAAAATTGATCTTCCTGCTACAAAGACACATGCACAATCTTGTTGTTACTGTATTGGTTAAAAACAAATTGAGCAGAAAACTCTTCCTTCGTTCATATTCTTCTTGGAGGGAGAGCACAGATATGGCTTTACATTTTTGCAGGTTTTCAGCTCAGTATCTGCTTCAATGGGGTTATGAAAAAGGTGTATTTGAAGATAAAAGAAGATGCATTTGACCCCAACCTACAAAGACATTGTTGCTGCTATTATACAGCGGGCTGTGGAGAGGCAGTTTCAGTGAGGTTTTTCACAAGCTAGATTCAATGTTATATTAGCTATGGTTCCAAAGGGGAAATAATAATAATGTTGCTCAGTGCCTGCTTCTAAGGATCAAAAGAGTCAGTTTCACACGTTTTTGTTCATTGTTTCACATACTAAACTTCGCATTCTTCATTAGCTGGTCAAGTGGACTGGCCAGTTGAGAAAAATATTTTTCTGGTAGAAGAATGTTCTCTTGAAATATCTAAAAAGCTTTATTTGTTTATGAAATGTATTGGCTGCTCATTTTACCACAGGATAATTCAAAGCAACAAAAAATGTTGCCAAGTTATTCTTAGTTGCAATTTCTGTAAGGATAATGTAGGTTTAATACTAGAACTGTCAAATCAAATTACTGTAATTCATTAGTATTATTACAGATGTGTTAGTTTGCTGTGTATCCTACAGTACATATTTCTATATGTTATATTATATTATAAATTTTACATATTTACATATGTATATTTGTATCCTATAACAATCTTGGGCAGTAAATAAAAATGCTAAACTAAATTAAACTATTAGCTGAATAAACCAAACTTCCAAGAAATTATTTTTAGCTTTTCTGTCTATGTGCTTTTCATACATTCTATTTTAATTAAAAGCAAGATAATCAATTTGCAGCAATAATAATAATCAATCATATTTCTCAGTAAACTGGGTGGTGCATGTTTTAAAATAGGTCATCCATAGTGTATTAAAAGAAGCTGCAGTTTAGGCAATCATAAATCACATTATTAAATGGTGTGAAGAAGAAGACTCCACTGAATTTTTTTAAAATTCAGAAAGAGCTAAGATGTACAGAAGTTTTAAAATAAATAATTACTATTATATAAAAGGGGGAAGAAATACCTATTCCACAGAACAAAAAAATGACTGCAATAACCCTGAATTTCTTTCATGAACTGATAATATTACAATGTGCATATGATACCACAGAAATATTTACTTTTTTGTGCATTCATTCATTTCTAGACCATATTTATAAAGCCATCTAACTCACAGTGACTCTGGGTGGTGTACAGGTTACATGTTAAAAACTCAACCTTGACTGTAAAACAGATCAAAGATGACAAAAATAAGGGACCAGACTTATCCTAAATATTACAACAGCAACCCAACAAATATAGAAAGAGGCCTTGATTCAACAGAAAAAAACTGGCCTTTTAGCAGCATATTGGTTTCTTGTTCTTGCTTTTTTTTTAACCTATTTACATTTTTATTTTGCCAAACTGCAAACTGACTCTTGGAGAGGATATGGTTGAACACCGCCAACATAATTTGACTTAATTGCAAAATCTAGCCTCCTTTAAGCAAATACCACAGTCAAAATAATAAATAGTTCCCCAAAGAGAAAGCAACCTACTTGGAAGACGTTGGAGAAATCCCTAAGATTGAAGTTGTAGTGAAATTTAATCGCTGTTGGGAGGAATGTGGCTGCTATTTTCAGGTGCAGAGCAAGAGCCAGATGTATTAACTGCTGGGATGACTTCTGTAAGGCTGCAGAGAAGTTCCCCCATTTTAGATGCTGAGTTAGGATAGTACTGTAAATGGTAGAAAGAGCATCTGCCCCAGGAAATGAGAGGGCAAACACACAGAAGTGGCGCTGCAAGAACATGATATAAAAAAACAAAACACAATACAAATCAATAGGCATCATACAGAAGAGAAAGGGTATATGTACTGTATATATTGTGATCACATAACCACAATTCTGGTGTTTGGCAACCATTGTACATTTACAACTATCCCACAGGTACATAACTGCCATTTGCAATCTTCCCAGCCAGCTTCTGAGAAGCAAAGTCAATAGGAAGCTAGCAGCAGGTCACAAGTAAGGGTGATGTTCTCTCTTAATGACCACAGGTGACCTACTTAACAACTGCACCTGGGACTGTGAGGATGCTGTCACTAAGTGAGGCAATCACAATATTTTGCTTAATAACTATTTCACTTAGAGATGGAGTTGCAGTGATGAGGACTTTGCATTCATTGCAAGGGTTTGAGTGGGGAAAACCCATGTGGTGCTGTCCATGGTACTGAAATACTGTTATTCTTCTCTTGGAACTTATAAAGTCATATCCCAAATGGCCTAAACCAAAGGCAGAGAAATATGGTTTACTGATGTATTAAAGCAATATAGAAAATAATCGGTTAATTCTATATAAAGGATGATCATCCCAGAAAACTACTAATTTCTGCTGGCCACTCCATCCCATTCCCCTCTTATCAAGCCTTTAGTTTTGACTTGTGACAGATAAACTGTCCCATCCCTGTAGCTTCTCTTTGCTTGGGCACAATCTAATCAAGCATGAAAAAACTGGTGGCAATTAACAAAACCAGCAGTGTTCTAGATCAGCAAGCAATACCTGCAAACGTGGGTTGATAGTAAAGCTGCCTGCAGTGGGATTCATGCATGACACGTACTGCACATTCGTGATTTCCTTCAGGGACAGCTTGTTTCTGTCATACCTTTGCCAGAAAAAGAAAAAAGAATGCATCATCCCAATCACAGATTATTAGTCAACAGCAGTGTCCCTGCCAAGCATTGCCAAGTCTGAAGCAGCATGTTGGAGGAGCACAAGGCACCTGCTGCATCCCAGCTGTTTTCAATTAATATTCTAACAGAGACTGTACAATTTGAGGGCAGGGGGGCTGGATGAGGTTAGAATTCACATATGTTTCCATTACATCAATGCATTCCATAATGATCGTGATTCCTCTAAAATCATGCATATCCACGATGAGACCAATTCATTAAAACCACAGGTTACATTCCATTCAAAGGGCAAAGCTGGTAGGAAGATTGGGGGTGGGGGAAGAGCTAAAAAGAAGCTAATACATCCCAAAGAAAAAGGGTGGATTGCACATTCTATAGTCTGCAGTGTTTGAATAAAAACAAGAAGTTTTATTGGGAGTTTTGCATTAAATAAAGAACCTTACCATGGGTGTGTGTGAAGAATTCAATCTTCATGAAGATTGAATCTTCAAGGACCTGACTACATCTCTTGGATTAATGTACAGTTCAAACTTAACTAGAGTATCCATCAGATTTTAATAATGTCCAAAGACTGTGACATGATTCTTACTCATGTGTGTATAGAGAGGGGTAGAAAACAAACTGGAGGTATAAATAAACTTATATAACAGTAAATCAGAGGCAAAATCATCATAACAACTCTGAATATTTTTGTTTGATTTTATGTTTGTTTGTTTTTAATGTAGATTGGGTGGAAACAAAATACAGTTCAGTGTAAATGATCTAGATCCCTAACCTACCAATGCCCATAGTCCAGATGTTGCCGCATCAGTGTATGAGGCTGGACTGTTCCATAGGTGTCAACTTCAGGCATATTCATATCGTCAATGAAGTAGATGAGTTTCTTTGTTCCAGGAGGACCATAATTCCTTCCAGCCTTTTTTTCCAGTGGCTTCTCTAGAACAGCTATGAGAAAACAAAGGCTCTGAATTTTTACAAAGCAAATTCTTAATATAAACACTGTATTGCCAGGCTGCCAGTTAACCTATTTGAGCTATAAGGCACCTATGTAAATATGAACAAAAGAAACAACATTCCAGTATCAAGCCTGTTGATGATTGGATCACATCACATACTTCCTCACCAAGGAAGACTTTCAGCCGTACAGAAGCCCATGAAAAGAGAATCATAGAGAAATAAAATACTGGTTAATAGATTGCAACTGTATACAAGAACTGCAGGAAAATCATCATAAATCTACAGTTCTGTAGTTATTATGCTTAAAATTTTGGACAAGAACAAATACAGTAACAGTAGGTTAATAGGGATGTAGAGTGATCCATCAACCATATTTTTTTATTAATGCGCTAGTTTCCTATCTTATGAATACTGTCAAAAATTAGAAAAACTGGCTATCTATCTCTAAGTTGGTGTCTTCAAATAGTCATCTATACATTCACAAATATAGAGTTTGTATCTGCATAGATGCTTTTATCATGAACATTTCATAGCTAAAAATATTTTGAGCAGGAAGGTTACCCTACATTGTATGACTAGAAATCTTCATCTTAACTTTCCTTCATTTCTAGAGGTCAATACAGCAGTCAAAAGAATGCAACATATTTACTCAAGACGGCATCTGCACAGAAGTGGGGAAATGAATGCACAGATAATGCATAGGTAAACCACCTGTTACTATTTTTTCATTTTGATAGCACACACACTGGTTTACAATGGTGGAAAACTTCCTTTATGCCAAAAAGAACAAGATTACTCAAGCAAAAGAACTATTAAATCTAGCACAAACAAAAACAGATGAGACAAACACCACCCTACACAGGGTTGAAATGAGCAATCCCTGGAACAGAATTACTGATGTTGACTTTATACTAATGCTGAAGGTAAGTGTTCAGTTAATGAATATGATATTGTAATGGCTTCTGCTAACCACTTAGGAAATCACTGGGAGGAGACCAACACCATAACAATTTCAGCCAATTTCTTTGTTTACTCAGAGTGACTTAAGTTGTGTTTAGAGCAGAGGTCCACAACTTCCAGTCCGTGGACAGCATTAGGTGTCAGCCAGGGGTGGGATGCTACCGGTTCTGCCCAGCTCTATAGAACTGGTAGCTCTGAAGAGCAGCAGACACCAAACCGGTTCTGTGTTTGCTGCTGTTTGGCCCACCTTCTCGCCCGGGCTCTTACTTGTCCTTTATTTCCTGCTTTTTCAATCTCAGCTGCTTTGTGCGACACAGCTGAGGTTGAAAAAGCAGGAAAAAAGAGGCTTTCCAAATGCTGTGCACCTGTGTACAGTGTTTTTCAGCTGTCTGGGTGACACAGATAAAGGGTTTTTTTACATGCAGTGTGCAAAACGTAGACACCGAAACGGTAGTAACACCGGTTGAATCCTGGTCTCAGCATGCCAGAAACCGGGCTGTGCAAACAAGTTAAGCCCCATCTGTGAGATGCAGGCAGCAAGTGAAACCACACCCTCTTCGGGCTCCTGGTTTAGAGGAAGATTTCTTCTTCTTTTTTCCCTCTTCACCATTTAGACTTCTGTAAGAGGCCAGTGTAGGAAGACAGGGATGTTTGGCCAATGCAGAATCGACTAAGCTAGATTCTTCTACCCTATTTGTAACTGACATGACAGCTGTGTTAGTTGTTAGCAAAGAACAAATGGAGACAGTTCCCCAGTTACTGACTAGAGCTCGTTCCGCTGCTGGCAATGCTGCTTCCCCAAGGGAGCTTAAAAAGACACAAGCAATTTCTCCTCATGTGTTCAGTGAATGTCTGAGAAGGAACCCGGGCACCCCCAACCTGTCCTTCTTCTAGAAATAATAATAGAGTGACAACTAGTGGGAATTTACTACCAACTAGGTGTATGTGCATATCTTTATTATCCTAGTGCAGGGTTGTCAAACTCCTGGCCCACAGGCCAGATGCATCACACACTGGCCATCCCCTTGTGTGGTTTAGCCAAGGGAGAAAAAGTCCCAATATGTCACATGACGCTGCTGTGACGATGTGAGCATGACACCCCTGTCCTAGTGAAATGAAAGAAATTCCTCTCCAAAAAGCAGAAAACCAGTAATTGATACTAATTGACATCTAACTAAGGAAAAGGATAGGTCCTTAGCTTTGTTTTTCAGACAGTTTACAATGAAAAGTCTATATGTTCTCCATAGACATTAAGAAAAAGCAGTTTTTCTACCCATCAAAAGGGTGGAAGGTTGCTAATGCAAGGAACATATCCCATAACGACACATAAACCCCAGAACAACAGTGATGCAGGAGTTAAGGTCTTTAGACTAGGACCATGGAGACACGTATGTATTATTTATCAAATATGCAGCTCATCTCACTGATGCAAGTCTACTCATGAAAACTCATGGTCCATGAGTTTTCAGTCAAACCTTCTAACTGGTTATTTTGACATGGAAAAATTGGAGGAGGAAATGCCACGTATATATTTTCCTTTATGGAGAAACAGAGAAAGGACCCGCCCTAATGGAGCAAGCAGTTCAAAGAGGTGGTGGGAAATTTTGTACTTCCAGACTTGCAAGATTCTGTTAACGTAGCTTTACAATAAAGTAGATTTAGCTCATTTAGTCATGTTTCCTATCTGGTTTACCTGGGAGATCTGACATCATTCTAAGTTTTTCTCTCTAGCTGTTAAGTCACTGGGGAGGCAGGTCCTGCCTTTCTTGTCTGATTGTTTTCTAGGCAACTTCTTTTCCTCTCTTCTTTCTTTAAGGTCATCCTCACACTCCATTACAGTCCTTCATGGAGCACTGCTATTTTGAGAAGCAGCCTTAAAAATTAGCATCATATTTAGCTCCACTCTTAGGCAGCATCCTTAAATGCAGCCATTCTAAAATATGGGTTGAATATCCAAATTTGCTGTATATTCTGTCAGCGGAACTAGAAAAAACTATCTGCTCATCCACAAAAAAATTGAAGCAGGATAGGGATAGGATAAGAATTAAACAGCAGAGAAGAAAAATCAATTCTAAATAAGTTAATAAATCGTTTTTACCAAAAGGGTTACAATTATCAGTGGCGTAACAATTTTACAGATTCTTGTATAATTCATCCAATATACAAACATCTCAATTCTGGCTGCTGAACTATATGTTGACTTATCAGAATCATTGATAAATGAAGAAAGGCCTTGGATCTAATGGCAAACTGCCTATAGGTCTGTTGAGCAATTACTAGTGACAAGCTTCTGTTATACAACTTTCAATTTCATTTCGGATATAGCGATGCATTCCAGGGACACGTTATTTCAATTTGACAAATGCTGCTCTGCCAAAACCTGAATAAGCATTCATTTTATCTGAATGGAAGTTTATCCTTCTCCAGGTTAAAGAAATCAATGGTTGTAAAAACAGACTGTTTTGTTTTATTTCGCTTTAAAAGTACTGAGTAAGCATCCAAGCAAAAAGTAGCAATAATGAAGCCCTGAATGTCTGGTCTATGGCTCCATGTCAGCAATGCTGCCTGGAAATGGACGTAAATCCAATACGTTCCCACAAGCTTATTAGAAGATCCAAGGAGGAGGTTTGGGATAGATACATTACTTTATTGCAGATGCCAAGCAGTCCTGATTAAGTTGAAGTTATCTGAGAACCTAACTCTCCCTATATGTCCCAAAGTTTAAGTCTTGGGTTTCATTTGCCTTTCTTGCCATACTTTTCTGCATAGAAACCTGTGTTTACAAAATGATTTGAGTTTGGTGGCACAGTGGTTAGAATGCAGTACTGCAAGCTACTTGTGCTGACTGCCGGTTGCCAGTAGTTCAAGTCTCACCAGCTCAAGATTGACTCAGGCTTCCATCCTTCTGAAGTGGGTCAAAGAAAGACACACATTTCCTTGGGGGAAATATGCTGACTATGTAAACCGCTTAGAGAAGGCTGTAAAGCACTATGAAGCAGTATATAAATCTAAGTGCTATTGCTATTCCTCACTTTGAAAGGCAAATATATACAATTATTTTCAACTTTTTGTGAGTTTGAGCATCATGCTGCTTTTTTAGACATAATTCTGCTTCTGCTATCCATTATCTAAATGTATCACTTTCCCATACATTTCACCATTACTGCTGTTTTGATATTAATTCTGCCTCCTGCCCCATGTAGTACATATTCATGTATAGATGACAATATCAATATATAAATTTTCATCATAGAGACATGCACTAGATTATATTATTTCCAATCAAGATACATGCTCCAAAAGAGGTGTGTCTATGTGTGGGTGGGTGTATGGGTGTGTATGTATATGAAAAAGTTCCCATCGCACATACATGTTAGTCGTTCCCAACTCTAGGCAGTACTCATCTCCATTTCAAAACCGAAGAGTCAGCGCAATTTGAAAACATCTCCATGGTCATGTGGCCAGCATGACTAAATACCGATGGCGCAGGGAAAGCTGTTACCTTCCCATCAAAGGTGCTACCTATTTTTCTACTTGCCCTTTTTACATGCTTTCGAACTACTAGGTTGGCAGAAGCTAGGATAAACGGGAGGTCAGTCCGTTATACGGTGCTAGGAATTCGAACTGTCAAACTGCTGACCTTTCTGATTGACAAGCTCAGCATCTTAGCCACTGAGCCACCACATCCCCTATATATATGCATGTGTGTGAGTGTGTGTGAGTGTGTGTGTGTGTGTGTGTGTGTGTGTGTATTGGTTATTTGGGTTTTCTCCCGCATAAGATTGGAAGTATCTAGGCAACGTTTCGATGAAGTCTCATTCATCATCTTCAGGACTGTGTCTTTGGCTCTGTGCTTCTCAGAGTAATATGAGCTTGCAGCTGCTGCTTCATTTAACTGCTAGTGGGGGTGTGACTTGATTGGGTGGGGGCTTGGCTGTGTTCTGATTGGGTGGGCATGTGTTCTCATTGGTTGGGGGTTTGGCTGTGTTCTCATTGGTTGGAGGGGTTGGCCGTGTTCTGATTGGCTG